CGACAGACTTGCAAAGTACTTGTGCTCCGTGCCAGAGGAGTGTGAACAAACCGTACATGTGATGTGTCGCCTCAACAGAGATCAATCCCACAAATGCATGCAGTAAGACCAGGCCCAAAATTTCTTGGCTATGGCCGGCAATAGCACAGAAGTCTATGGGAAATGGTTCGGCCACTAGCTGACGGCTTCCATAGAAGCAGGTGTTATTTTCTTCCCATAGCCAAGCAATCTGGACATCACCATAGATACTGAAGGACTCAGCAAATTTCTAACTTTGTGGAGGAGATAGTAATGACTTTGTACTGTACAATTTAACTCACAGGTGTCTCTGTCTGCGCTGCTGTCTTCCACTTTTTTGCTGTCTTCCTTCTGTCTATCTTCCTCCTCTCCTTCCTCGGAAGACTCCGCTTGCTTCTGCTGTATTCTCATGAACAGCGCCCTCTGCTTGGCAGGCATGTTCAGAGTCACACTGGCAATGTCCGGCTTTTTCTCATCAGCTGCTGGTTCCGTCGTAACACTTGAGGAAACAGGGCTGTAATCCTCTCCTAAAACAGGAACAAGAAATATAAACAAATACACAATGGAAACTTGACTGCCATTCAGTTTCTGTTTTTCCAGATTCTGGGGCGAGTTTCATCGTTGAATAAGGATGAATTTGACCATGCCAAAATGTTAAATTAAAAAGCCACAGAACATCAGTGTCTTTCTCACTTCATGAGGTTGCAAAGCGCAACAAGTGTTTGATAAATAGGGAAAAATTTGCTAAAACATGTTATGAAAACTGTGATTAGATCTCAGTTGATTTTTGCTTAGGAAAAAAATGCAGAGGTATGTTTTCTGCTAATTCCATAACAATCTTGGACCCAGGGCCACAGGAAAGATATTTTGATGATGCTCTAGAATGTTTAATTACTTCAATCTCTGTGGAAGTGGGCAATATATGTCTATGTTTGCATGTTTATGGTAGTGCTAAATAACTATTTCCATGAACAGATTGAAAATGAGAAATACTTCTGTGAGGAGCATTTCAAATGCCAAAGAAGTGTTAAATTTAGATCTCCTTAGGATATCAAAAGAACTTTCAAGCTTGACATACCCTCGTTTTGGCTCTTCCTGGTGCTCCCTGTTCTTGGGAACCTTTCATCAATGTCCTGCAATCTACCTCCTTGGTTCTCACTACTGTCTGTTGATATTTCAGGATCATCAATTACCAGTCCACCTGTCTCAGAGTTGCGCTTGGTCCTAGGTAACCTCATGTCAATGTCTCCATGGTCATAGTTATCTGACCGGTCAATGACTGGCCTAAGAGGGTGGGGAGAGGGCTCTGTGGGTCTCTGCTGGTACATCTGAAATTGAGGTCGTCCTGGGGAGCCAAGCGAACGCTGTGGTGACTGCTGTGGATGCTGGGGAGAAACTTGGGGAAGCTCGTTTAACCTCTGCAAGTGCTGTGGCTGTTGAGATTGCTGTTGCTGCTGGGGGAAGTCCGGTTCAACTTGGTCTTTGTGCTCCTCAAGGAGCCTTCCGTGGCCAGGTTGGGGAAGAAGTGATGACTTCTGCTGCCTCTCAGAGACATGTTGGGGTGTTCCCAAGAGGGATTTACCTCTCTGTGGGGGCTGCTGGTGGTGCATTCTTTTGGAATCTGTTTCAGAGTCCTTGAGGTCTAGTTGTTCACTGTGATCAGGTGGCTCTTGGAAGCCTTGCTGCTCACTTGGCCCACTGAATGACCCTTGCTGGGACTGACTTTCAGAGTCTTGTTCATATGGAATTTCTGGAGTATCATCAAATTGAGGTGGGGCCGATCCATAAAAGTTAAGCCTGTCAGCACAAAAGAAAAACTGGTGGATAATATCAACCACACTACTATTTTTTACTATGAAGACAATTCATTCAGGTTGTAGGTTTGGGATATTTTCTTACTTTCTGAGATAAATACAGTTACAATTACAAAATCATGAAAAAGAATAAAATAGTGGACTTAAAGATGGGGCACAAGTTTGTGTAAGCTTTCAATCTACCGGTTTTTGGTTTATTTCTTTGGTCAACCAATAATTTTAATAAGATGAAACCAGTAAGTGTCCAATTTTCATAAGAAACAATTACAAACAGAAACTTACATTTGTTTTTGACTCTTCACTCTCTTCTGTTCTTGTTCAGCGATCCGTCTGCCATCCTCCCCAACCAGCTGGGTCTTGATCTCAAACAGTGAGGGGATCTTCTTGGATGATGGGTTCAGGTTCGGGTTTGGGAGTGGCAGCTGGGGAGGACCCGTAGGATGGGGGAGCAAGCCCCTAGTTTGGTGGGGTTGGCGTTGGATCTCTGGCCCATAAACATCCGTCAGCCCACCTTTCAAGACCTAGTCAAGCAGAAATGCGACAACACCTGTAATGCATTTTTTTGTGTACAAAGTCGACAATTTTCAATCAGGCTAGTCCCTCTCACTGTTGCCTCTCTCTCAACAATTCATTCCTTTCGTGAAGAGACTGGAGAAGAGGAGCTAGGATATGGTCACCAAAATCTTCCGCCCTGATGGCTTGATGCATCACTTCTCTTTGCTGCCTTGTAAAAAGAGCCCAGATTGTGCAATGTTACGTAATTTTCTTTTGTTCTGGCACAGTGCGCTGCTGACCTCTTTTCATTAGGGGCCAGATTAGGGTGCAGCGGTACTGTGTGGCTCATCGCTGTAGTGGTGGAGCGCTTTTTTCCCCGGTGGTAATCCGCTCGCTCTGAATGCCCAAAACCGCGGTATACTGTTTCAAAACAAGGCTGGATTATCTCCGCTATTTAGAGTGAACAAATGTTGGTAAACAGCCTGGTTTTTTGTTACGAGTACGGTCTTTTGTTACAAGGCCCAGTTCCCTTCGTCCAATTTTAGAGACCCCGGCCATGTGTATAACGAATATATGTCTGAAACCGGAATCCCCGACGGAAAGTGGTTAACAACCCCTTTTAATTAGCTATTGCTATTAAGGAACACAGACACTTGTTAAGACTCCAAAACCCATCAGCCATGCCACCAACCAGTACATCTTAGCCAACAATCCCAAGGAAGACACTTGATGAGATTCCAGTGCCATCGTCCATTCTAGAAACAGGTATTCTGGGAAAGGTATCAAGACTGAACATTTGTACCTTTCCAAGAAGAAGCCTGGTGTTGTCAGTCAGTGCCTCATGGGAAAACTTGCACTTGTCTCCCTGGTAGCACACAGCACCTGTGTGATAGTACTTGCAAGGCATTTCACCTGCAGAGTGAAACAAGGAATCAATAACAATTCTTGGCAAACTGTCTCAAACCTGGCAACTTTTCATTCCATATGAAGTCCTTCTACTGAGACATGGCGTGTCTTTACCAGAAATTTTAGTCAAGAATGCAATACTAGAGGAGTCAAGAGGTCTCATGGGAAAAAAACAAGGCTTCAACTAAATAGTTTTAAGTAAGGCAATACCTCACTGGCCTCCAAAATTCACAATCTGTGCATTTCTCAGCTGAATGGGACAAAAACCACTACACTCAGCATGGTCTTATGTTCTTCGGGAGAGTGGGCAGAAAGGCACTCACTCCCAACAAACTGATAAACCATTTATGGTGGAAAGGGTCAAATCCGAGGTATATTCAATCAAACTGGTGATTTTTGTCTCCTTTCCTTCCTTCTTTTGTTTCTCTCACTTTTTCTTTTCTTCGTCCCCTCTTTTCATTTTTTCATGTTTCCCGCAGGAGTCTAAACATTCCCGTCTGCCCCTGCTTTAAACGAATACTTCAAAAAGAGACCTTAGCCCAATTTCACGGCGCTGCTTACTGCAGGCAAAAAATTGCCACTTCCTGAAGCAGAAAACTCTGTGCTTACATCAAACGTATTTCATGGGTTAGCGAAGAATTTTAGCTTGTGCGCATGTGTACATCCCGTAACGTAGGATTCTGTGCTTAAAGGGTTAGCGCAGGATTTTCTGCTTGCACGGTTAGCGCAGAATGGAGACCGTAAGTGCGGAATTCTGCGGTAAGCAGCGCCATGAAATTGGGCCCTTGTTACAACTTTCTGGAATACCAAACTGCTTAAACTGAACATACGAAAACGGTTCTTCATCACTACTTTAAAAGAAGGGAACAACGTACCGTGAATGTAGAGGCATTCATCTCCTTTCTGGCATTGTCCCTGGAGGTAGAACTTGCACTGTTCCATCTTCTTGTTGGGCAGAATGGCATGGCTGAAGGTACACGCCGGTCCCTGGATGGGGCAAAAGCTCACTGGCTAAGTTAGTGTGAAACACTAATGACTTTCTGGGCCCCAGTTCACAGAGCTGCTCGGTAAAAATATCCCTTAGCAAAATTAGATGCTAAAAAAAAATTAGCTGGAAGTCAGTCGTAAGCGCAGTAAATCGTTTTCACATTTTCACTGACGACACGATTTTCATTTAGGGTGAAAAAGTCTATTTCAATTGGATTTACTCCATTGCCACCGTTTATTTTAAATATGAAATTCTACATGAAACTGCTGTGTGGTCTCACCTTATTGCATTTTCCTTCCAGATAAAACTTGCAGATAGGTCTTAATTTCATCCCCTCAGCGGCGCCTTTGCCCCGCCCTTTTCCACCTTTACCCTTCCCACCACGCCCTCTTGCACCTCCCCTGCCGTGCCCTGCCGGAGCACTTGATTCCTCCATGTCCTCTGCATCCTCGAAGCTGCCAGTTTTGGGGGCGTGTCCACCGCCACGCCCAGATGCTCCCCTGCCTTTGCCACGCCCCTTGCCTTTGCCCCTCTGGCTCTGCATGTGATAGCGGCCTGTGCTCCGCCCAAGGCCAGAGCTCTCTGACTGGTTAAGCATGTCCTGGTAGTGATCATCTCCTTCATCTGAATCAAAGCTACAATAAAAAAAAAAAATCGAAAACACATTTATTTATTTACACATTTGTTAAAAACAGATATTTGCAACTTTTGCACCATCTTAAAAACCGTTAACGATGAAACACCTGCGAGATAACAGGCAAACAGCCCCTTTCCATCACCATCTACAAGTAAAAGCTTAAACGGCTTGGACACAAGGACAACCAAGTCAACCTCTGTGCTCTCCACCAACCCGTGCAAGGGAACCACAGTAAAGGCACACCTTGTACCCGGAACACATTGCTGGAATCCATTCTAAAGATATAATCGTTACATCTAAGGGAATCAATGAGGCTGCCCAAGATAGAGTTAACTGGAGGAGCCTTTTGACCACCTGCGACACAGCCAACTATTAGTAGCAGCAGTGGTAATAATAACCGTATCTGACATTTTAGAAGGTGTACAGGCTCTGCAGACGTATCCAACAGTCATAATCAGACGGCAAAACTGAGGGGTATCATCTACATATTGGAAGGCATTTATAGAGTAAAGGCGATTTCACTAGTTGAACTGAAGCTGTGCTCAGAGTGTGCATGTGTAATCTCACATAATTATGACCTCACAGGGTATCCATTCAAACTCGACTGGCTTCACCCCCAAACTTCCAATATAAAGGGAAGAACAAAGACTAATATTTTTTTTCTATTCTTGCTCAACAACACAGTCCCCTCTTCGGTTTGCACACAAAGCCATTAGACCTCTGAAGGTACAGCCATAGCTGGTCAGAAACAATTTAAAGCTTGACTGTACTGTATATTAATTTAAAAACTTGATGAATTTACGAGGGCTGAGCTCACAGATTTTCTTCTTCTTCTTCATCCTCATAGTTCCTGGACATGCTCTTGTTTCTCCTCCTGCCGCCTTCATCTTCCTCCTCATCTTCCCAGTAGTCAGACGGGACAAAGTACCCCTGGGATCTGTCCCTCGACTTCTGGGACATGCCAAACTCTTCCTCCAGGGGCGAGTCATAATCAGGCGGAGAGTCGTAACGGGACAGATTTCGTCGTGGTGGGTAGCTCCGATCCAGGAAGTCCCCTTGTGGATTGGGGCTACCGGGTGGGGTCGCATCCTGACAGGAGGAATGTTTAAAAAATTCCTTGAAAATAAGCCCACCCACTTTGAGATCACAGCATCCAATGAAAGATGAATGTACAGAAGTCAAACTGAGCACAATCAACCACAATTGTTCAATACCTAACTGAAAAATGATACAAATTGAGCTTGAATAAAGCTTACTATCTGTGGAACCACAAAATCAAAATTGAGAAATTCTAACTTAAAAATCAAATTTCAAAATGGAAGCTGCCAGACTCATTTCTAAATCATAGTGCATGTATTTGTCTACCAAATCATGATTAGAAACAAACCTCACAGGCTTTGATTATGTAATTAGAAATCACTGTTAATCCTGAGACCAGGAATATGGAATATGGACATATTTTAAATGAATAACTGATTCTTACATCGTCGCCACTGCCTGATCGGTGGCGTCGCCTTCTCTTGGCTCTCTCCCGGCGATGCTTCTTCTTCCTTTTCTTCCGATGCGACGAGGACCGGTGATGATACTCTGCCATTTCCTCAGTGTCCTCCTCTGCCTCCTCCTCCTGGTCTCTGTACGACCCCTGACCCCTGGACTGCGGGTCACCGGCCCCTTCCCCATCTGAACCTGGCTGTTCCTCGACTGCGGGCTGGGTGTCTGGGTCTTCTGGGGCACTTTCCCAGCCTCCTTCTCCATCAGATTCTGGTAATTCTCCATCCTCAAGAATTTCACCCTCCTCCGCATCATCATCCACATCATCATCCCTATATAAAAAAATGGAATAGCCCATTCAAATCCAGCTCTCTGTTCAGTACACATTCAAGAAACAGATCCAGTAAAATCTTCACATTATGCACCCCTTCTGTCAATTAAATAAAAAGTCACACATCCTAGATGATTTAACTGCATCAAGAAAATCTCATTTCATTCCCCATAGTTGGGTACCTTCCTAACTTCGGCCACTTTCACAAAGCTAAGCACTAATATTTGCTTAGCAAAAACATATTCACTAAGCAACAGTTTTTACCAGCCAAACAGTCATATAATGTATTGGATATATCTGGTGTTCAGTCAATATTTGCTTAGTATGAAAATCTGCTAAGCAAGATTTCTTGCTACATTGGGCTGCGGCTTGGCTGGGGCTAGGAATTACACACGAGTCTATAACAGCGACTGCGGCCACTTCCCACACGAGTCGTGTGTAATTTCAAGTCGCAGCCAAGTGATTCGGATGTGGCATGGCTGTGTGCAATAGGGCCAATGTCCTTGGGACTTAAATCTAGTTACAACAGCAACTTTGTATTTCAGGACTTGAAAAAAGAATACATGGACCGCAAATACTCCCTTGGTATAAGCAAATGCTGTCTTTGTGATCTTGGTTCCATTGTGAGGTCTTTCTTTTTTCATTTGGTTGATATTCTAGCCAGCAGCATTGATGTTTACATAATAATTATAATACAGCTCCATGAATGATGCAGTAGTGATAACAGAATAACTTATCACGGAGTTCAGAGCCTTGTTTATATTAGATTAATTTACCGGCCCGGGTGATGTTGGACTCTGAAGTCTTCCATGCAACATCCAGCAGAGAAGTTGTAAAAAAAAATTAAAAACATGGTTTTTTTGCAACATTGAGTTCTAGCTCCTCCAAATGATTATAAAATGTTGCACTTAGTTACGAACAGAGTTCACAAATTTCCCCATCTAAATAATTAACCCTCAAAAACTGGAAAAATGGAGAATTGTAATGTATCCAAACCTCAGTTTTGTTTCATTTGTCATTTTTTTTCACAATACCCACTCTATTTCACAAACTACGGAGATTAAAAAAAAGCTTGGTTAATACTCTATAGATAAGTTTCAGTAATGGGGGAGGTTCTTTGTGGAAATATGGTATTTTAAGAGCCACACTAAATAACAATCTCCTTTTCTGCAAAGCAAAACTCCCACATTTAAAATTTAAAATTCCAAGAATTAAAAAAACAAAATCATGGTCATTCATGAGTCCACTGCCAGTCCTAGCTGGTCACGGCAATGTTCACATCCTGTTTCGTTTTTTGGTATTATAAGAGGCAATTGCCTGAAACTTGTGTAAGGAGCACAATTGTGAACCCTTCTACTAACTTAAAGAAGTACTGTGTATGTGGCAAGACACACTTTGTCAATAAGAAATGAAAGCATTTCAGCCAATAGAAACTGACCTCGTCGACAGAAGAAAATATGGAATGTAAAAAAGGAAAAGAACTCTGTGTTGGTTTTTACAAGCATTACATCAACTGTTGGAATGCTGATGGAAGGATGTAATGTGCTGTGAAACGTAATGGAAAGTGAACGTGTTGTATCCTTGTTTTGTGTCTTCTGAAACATGGAAAAACATGACTGCACTGCACTGTTCTGTCATTTGGAACTCCAATTAACTAAGTGTGAATACATGCAACACAACATGGTCCATCTTCCACTTAAATCATGCAAGCTCAAAGAACAGAAATGACTGAAGCTACAAAGAACCATTTACTTGGCAGATTAGAATGTTTGCATGTGGCTTCAAATTCTGGTAGAAATAATATCAACGAGGAACAGTCTTTTTTTTGTTATGGATGTACATTTATATTGAGGGAGTGGGTTTAACAACCACCACTATATCTTTGCTGTAATTTGGACTTCTGTTCCGGGGGGTGGGGGCAGAGGACCTGGATGATCCGTTTTTCCTTTCCTTAGCTTTTAGCTTTCTCTAATTGATTTTATTTTGCTTTCCTTATTCAAGCTTATCCTTGGTCGTTTTCCTCCTCCTTGCATATTTCTTCCACTTTTCAAATTGTCCTGGGGGGGGGATAACAGGTGAAAAATACACAAGTGTATGGGCTGTCTTCCCACATTTGAAATATGCCCAGTTTGGCTTTATGAGAAAACATGGAGATTATAGCAACATATAGCGAAACCAACATGTTTAGAACATTACAAATACAGAATATGAACATGATTCATCCTGCTAACTTCCAGTCAGTGAACTATCCAAATGGGCATTTCTAGCTTATCCAGCAATGAAGAATTTGGTTAATGAATACAGCCCCTCCAATGTGTGGTTATACAAGAATTGTTCAATCAGAAATTATTAATTCTGAAGATCAATTGTCCAATGGAAAGATCTGTTGAACCTCTGGTCAAAATTTGGTAAATTTATCTATAACCCATAATGATAAAATTCTTTCACCAGAGAACACAATTGCACAATCTGGATAACCACCATTTACTTCAGGTCTGTCTGATCGTGGAGGAATGAAAAACACATGGTCTGATCTTTGTAAAATGGAAAAGTCATCATTAATAAAAACTACAAAGGGGCAGCTGCTGACAAAATTAGTATGGTGACTGAACACCACCAAAGTGATAAAAAAGACCTGCTGATGTTCTCCCTTTTTAGAAGTTTTACAATTACAATAGGCCAATTCACAAAGAAAACTGTTGCTCAAATGTCAATCAGATATGACATGTGACAGAATATTGCATAAGGGCAAGAAATTTCTCATGAACATACATGTACAGTAACCGTCAGACAGTACAATGTACATGTACATGTACCATGCAGTTTAATGCTTTGATGTTGAGCAAAGGTTGTATGCAAAGTTGAAGGTCTGAATGCCTAATTTCCTACTACATATTCATGACTACAAAGCAGGTGCACTCGACTTGTGTCAGTCATCTTTGTATTCTTTTTCACATCTTTTCTGGGGGGGGGCAGGTTGTTTGAAATTCATTAGCTGTATGGTGCCTATCAAAAAAAATTCAAATAGACATCTGATATGGTAGGTAAAGAGGCCAAGCAAAGTAATGATGGACATCTTGTGCGAAGGTGAGACTATTCAGTGATAAAATATGTCAATGCATTGGTTTGTGCATGTACAAGGATTTCATAGGAAGCAGGCCACATACTGTAAGGAAAAAAATAATTAGTACACTGTACAAGTTGGAAAACTAGACATTTGTAGTGTATCAAAATTTTGGATGAAACATGCAGTTATCTAACTCTTGTAAAGGATTTTGTTGAAAACTAGTCCAAGGGTTCTGTTGACACTTGCTATTATTAATGCTGAAAAATGGTAAAACTATGCATGTAACAAAAGTGGATTTGAGGTGAGACACTGTCCATTATGTTTGTAAAAGATGAACCACTTGGAATGTTTAGTTGATATAAATTTGAAAAAATCATGTTTGGACATTCAGAAAAATATTTGTATCACTTGACTTCGAACACTCACAATAACTATTTGACCTGTCAAATTGTTGTCCTCACACTTAAATGGAATAGTGGAACCTCTTTGGCTTCAGTTTGCCAAAGAAACTGCATTTGTATTAAGTTCTTTTGCTAACAACTTTACTTATGTATTCATTTACTCCCTTCCCATCCCACATTACTTGTAGAAATCATGGATAAACAAGATCCAACTGAACATGCTTTTGGTCATCTGTGATTCATCTCAGCCTCTAATGTTTTTAGGCCAAAGCTAGGTTCCTTTTTAAAGAACTACAGAAACCTTTCCTTGCCCAAAGTTTCACACTCCTAGAAGCCAGTACAATGGACAAACCTTCAAGTTTGCAAGTCCAAGTCAGAACACATGTAGGCTACCTGTACATGATCCAATTAGTTGTGCAAATAATTTTCCCCTTCCAACTTTCAAACCATGATCAATTCAGTAATATTATAAAATTTTAACTGAGCTGAGTGCTTTTCTAACCAAGCAAAACCAGAGACAAGGGAAAAAAACACGATCAAACTAAGCTCATCTGAATCACACTACAGGAGCACAAAACATTTACCCATGCAAGAATGGTACGGTCCAAGGGTTAACGTGTCACATGACAAGGTATCATAGTTATGTAGATTTGCAAATGAATATGCAAATCACCACCGCGCCCCACATCTTCCGCCAGCCATATTTCTTACCTTCCTTTGAGAAAATCCCCAATGATACGATGCATTACCCCGAAAAATCACAATTAAAAACGAAATAAAGGCATATCTTCAGGTTACAGGGAAGACATTGAAACTAGGAACGTTTTACTTGACCTTTCAAACACAGACTTCTCACTCATCGTAAGTGTTTCATTGTTACTGTTCACGAGAGGTGGGGGCGTTTCAAACAGACTTTCGAGAGCCATTTGCGGTCGTTTACCGACCAGTTCTCCTGGCAAGGTTGCTTCTGTTGTGTTCTCTAAACCGTAACGGTTATACTTGTTCGCGTGTCCTGCGTTCTTCTCACCGTTTTAAGCAGATATCGGCAATTTTTGTTGGGGCCGACAATCTACCACTCGCAAATTTCGACGTCATGGCGAACTGAAATTTTGCATTGCGCATGATCAAAAGAGCGTCATTGTTGTATGGTGGCCACGAAAGGACAGGTTGCTTGGCAGTTGACATTATGAGATTTTTCTTACGGTTTTGGTTTGCATGAGCATGGCATGAACTACTTGTAGTGTTTGAAAATTGGGGTTATTTATTTTAAAGTTGTTTATACCTTTTGAGCTTTCCTAAATCGATTTTCGATCTTAATAGTCGATAAAAGGTCATGAAGTTATACCTTTCGGCCACTGTAGATATTGGCGATATTTGCATAAAGAGCGAAGTGAATTGGCTTTCGTGATCCTACCGTTGTTGGCGCTGTGCAGCTAGCCCACGGAAAAACAAACGTCTTCGACTCGACTGGACTCGAAAGGACCAGTCAACATTTAATTTCGGTAAGTGCGCAGAAATTCATTCCTCCAAAAAGGTCGTTTAACAGTAGGTCTCATATTTTTCCAACAGCCACAAGATGCTTTGACATCTTGAAATATTTTGAAATGAATGTATTGAAGCTACTTTGCTAGGCCTAATCCGTGCCTGCGAAAACTGCACCCGCGCACGTGAGTCTTGCTCGTCATGATGCATGCCAGTTTCACCGCCAACGTCGTCGTAAACGTTAGACCCCCAACCTGCCAACCCAAACACCATGAGAATCGCCTGCTGACATTGTCTGACTGTATCTGTACAGTTGAGCCGGCAAATAATGTCCGTTTGGACACATCACATCAGCCTACGCATTGCATGGATCGTCCAAACATGTCATTCTTGATACATGTGATAAAACTTAGCTAACCGATCTTCTCCAGTCTGCCAGTGAAGTGCAAGCAACGTTTTCATGGTTTTACATTTTTCGTAGTGATGTAACGAGGCACTAAATTTGGTAACTCGAGTCCAGTTATTTTAACATTGTGACTCGAGTCGAGTTATTAAGTCAAGAAGTCGAGTCGAATCACATTGTGTAGCCAAGTCGAGTCAAGAACCAATTTGACCTGACATTCCTAATGACTATTCTGAGTAACTTGGACCGTAAAAATCACCTTTTAAAACATTTGGACATGGTCGGGCTATAGTCCAAGTGGTAAGACATTTTAGAGTTCCATATACAGACATCACTGATATTTCTGTGCAGTAATTAACGAGCTATTATTAGAAAGTGATGACATCGTAAAAGGTCAAATTTCTGTGCAGTAATTAACGAGCTATTATTAGAAAGTGATGACATCGTAAAAGGTCAAATTTAGCAGTGAACATGCTGAAGCATTTCAGACCAGTCTTACAGTTACGTGTCTCTTACTAGCATTTGTGCACAGGATGTCAAGTGATGTCCATCTTTCTGTAACGTGTGAAAATACAACGTGTTTTCTACATATGAGTAAATGCTTCAAAATCTTCAGAGCTACAATGTAAATTTGACTCATTAGTACACGTTATCACTCTCTGATGGCTTATACACCACTGGAAGGGAAAACTTGTGATGTTCTCATGTGTAGTACAAGTGTATGAAACTCTTGCTATATTTGGAATATTGTAGAAATTATTGTGACGCTTTGATTCTGCTGTACTCTGTTGACAATTTTCATTGCTGTATGTGTATTATGGATAATAATGCAATGTTGTGTGGCCCCAAGAACAGAATGAGTCCCTCCCATCTGTAGTTGAGGTGGGACCAACTGTTGTGGGGGACCATCCAAATTGTTTGTAGTTGGGCTGACAAAACTACAGCATAGTCAGTGTATGCAATAACTTGCCATTATCCTTTCGTATTCATCAAAGACACCTGTTCTTAGAACAGGTGTTTTTGATCCACATGAAGTAGAAGTGTCATGGATGAAACACCAGGTTGGCTCATCTTTCATGAATTCTGTCAGGTGTGAGCCTCAAAAACCTTTGGAAGATTGAGGAACCTAACGTAGTCGCGCCAATCCAACTGCAGCCCTATAGCCCAACTACAACATCAGTCCCGACTAAATGCTGTGGTGTAACACCGTCAGCGATACGGGGGACGGACCTTGGATTAGCTGGACAGAGAACAACTTCATATTTTCAAGTTGTGAAACAGACACATTAACTGCCCAGCACTGAAGACAGATTTCCCGAGATACAGTTGGTCCCAACTATTGTCAGGACGGCCTTTTACTCACATTTAATGCACAGGAAGCATCCAGTCGTTGGACATCTTTGATTTCTGGTACATACTGCAGGCTAATTACCCAGAACGACTACCCCGGTACACTTCCGACTTGAGTGACTGAGAGGGATCCCAAGGCAGCACCATGTCCGACAGTGACGCCAGCGCATTTTCAGATGTGGAGAGTGAGGGCAGTTATCAGGCAAAAAGTGACGTAGAGGTAGGGTGTTTTTTTGTTGATACAAACTTCTCCTTCTTTCAGGACATCCTTGGAATCACTCCTGATCGACCAAGAAAGGAAGAGCTTTTTGATTAGGCGCAAAAGTGTTGCACGTTTATGACTCAAGGTTTTGCCAGCTATCACTTATAGACTTGTCCTTACTGCTGATTTTCAAAGTCTGTGATGGGGAGAACAGTAACTGGTCTTTGGTTGGCAAAACTCAGACTGCGACGTTGAATAATTGGGCCAACTTAACTCACTCTTCATCCAACAGTATCCTGCAAAATTTGTCCGAGGCAAAGTCTAGGTCCTCAGTATTTCACCGGCCTAATTTGAAATTTCAGTTCAGCTTCAAAAGGAGACGTTTTGGACAAATTTTTTTTCTTACCGATAGCAAAGAGTTTATCATTTGATTAGACTTTGAAGCCTAAGCCCAGATCGACACATACTGGTATATGTGCATGTCTGACTTAATAGTCAGGGTAACATGGTCATGGAGAGAATGTATAGCAATAGAGACGGGGCACCAGGTAACACTGAGGGGTCATAGACAAGTTGGTTTGTGCATCAGTCAGTGGATATTTTGTTCAAGGTGATTATTAAGCAGTTTGCTGAGCCCAGTTTTAACCCTAACCTTCCCCAACCACACAGAATTAAACTGTAGTAAAGTGTTTAATTCTGTGGGGATAGGTCTGGTAGGCCCATAACAGCTGGCTTTTGCATTGGGTTTGGCATACCTCAGAAAAAACAAAGTCCAACAGCCTCTGTGCGCAAAGTCCCATATGGGTGTTTAACTTCATGGGAATGGGAAAGGTTAGGGCCAGCAACCCTTGGGGGGGTTAGGGTTAAAGAGCCCCTGCAAAGCTTCCTTATCTTTTTTCCTTGGTGTGTCTTGTGTGAACTAGGATGAGAGCCCGGTTGCCAGTGAGGCAGAGGAAGCCCCCAGCGATGAGGGAAGCGAGGTGGGGAGCATGGCCGCTGGGGGCAACGAAGAAGAGGAGGAGGAGGAAGAGGAAGGGTTGGACCTGACCTTGCCGGATGACGAGGAAGAAGACGAGATGTACGACTCGGAGGAGGATGACACCATGACCAAGCGCAAGAAGGCTCGCTTCCGGGAGTTCATCCTGGATGAGGCCGGTCAGTGGAGATGCCTTAAGGCTGGTTCATGCTTGTCACAGAAGCGAACAGGAGCAAGAAATTTTGACGTCAAATTGAATACTCACACGGCAAATACTCAATACTTGAACACTTTTCAACTGAGACAAAATTTCCTGCAGATGTTTTGTTATATCGAAGTTGCTTAGCTTTTGAATTCACTTGAAATAGAAAACAGTCTTCAGTCAACTGTTGTCTCCAACCAAATATTCCAGAGCTGTTTTTTTGTTTATGGGGGAGGGGGGAATTTACGACAGCTAAGAAGAAAACGTTCCTTTGAGAATATTTATGTGCCAATGAAAATTCTTCAGGGGACCAGTCAAATGATGCATGCAAAATGGTACATTTTGGTTGGTAAACAGCTTTTGCCTAGCATATGTATTCTGAGTTGTCGCCGACTGTCCAAAGGTCTCCCAATTACAATGACTAATACGTTATTCAGGAAAAAATCTTTAGAGGGTTGAAATACCTCGAAACACAACTGTCTTTTTCTACCTCGCAGATGTGGATAACGACTATGAGGATGACGAGGAAGGCGATTGGGAGGAGGGGGCCAAGGACCTCATCGATAAGACCAGCCGGGTGGAGCAAGACGAGTCTGAGAGGCACGGTGCTAGGAGGCTGCAACAACTTCTCAGGTCAGGACGAGAAATCTGGCCTGGTTGCTGCGGTATCACTGACTGAGATGCCTTGCACAGTTATCAGTAAAATCTCGAGAAGGACGGAGTTAAGAAGTGCCGTTATTTGAGCTTGAGTCAAGCAAGGTTCCCAGTAATTCCGTGGTCAAGAAATGGATTGATTGTCATTGTAGCTCACTTGATCGCTTTCTTTCCTTTTGTTGATTTTAATGGATTTTTTTGGCTTAACTTCTATTTTTTCTTTAACCCTAACCACCCAAGGGTTGCTGGACCTAACCTTCCCCTATCACACAAACTTCAACAGTAACTCCTCCTGTAACAGTTCCCAATCACACAAACTCCAACAGGTCTTTACCTGTTTGATTGGGTACAGCAGGCCCACTGCACAGTACAAAGAGCATGGACAGGCAGTACCTATTCAAACAAACTCGCACACCATAATGCTGCATATCCATCCCCAACTGTTGGGATCATTGTGGTCAGAAACACGGTAGATTGTCCTTGTTATGGTATTTATTACATAATATTATGTATTACATACTTACCATTTCAATGGGAAGCTTTCTATCATTATGTAGTCTTTAAAAATACAGTACTCATTTGAAATTCTTGATGGTAAAAAGTGAGAGGGCCGCAGTACCCATTCTCACCAAATGAAACACCAGATAGTAAGCTACCAGTACCCAATGCCACAAACTCACACACTTTACTGGTGTTGAATTCTGTGTGGTTAGGGAAGGGTTAGGGTTAATACCTAAAAGTGTCTGCTCTATAAATAGTTCAATAAAGCACTCAAAGTTTGTGACCTTGCTTGCCATAATTTCATGCTGCTGGTGGGCAGTTTTGGTCACTAGGACATTTGTGACCTGCTCTGTAAAAACGAGTCACAAGGCTCCGGAGCTACTTTTGAGTTTTACTTTGTTTTAGATTGAGGAATTTGAGCTCTTTCCTTTGATGAGTCACTCAGCTTGGTACAGTGAAAACGGACGTTGTGTAACATTGTTAAAATGTTGAGGATTCCTATTGCTTAAACACTGTGCAAGATTCTTTCAAAAGCCTTTAACTCCAAAGTGGCTCTGGAGACGTGACTCATTTTCACAGAGCAGGTCCAATTTGTTGCCATGGAAATCCTATTCTCTTCACAGATACCGGTAAATGTCAAGTTTTGAGTTGTCCCACTTTGACTCGTTGAGATTTAATTGTAAATGCACCTTTCCTGTTTTTGGAAAGTAGACTTGGTGTCAGGGGAAGGGGGTTGGCATTTCAAATCAACTGCTCCTGGTCGCTCCGTAACCAACCGTCCGTTTTTTAGCAGATGAATTATTGCCAGTGTTGTCATTCTCCCACAGCCACCAGAAGGAAGATGAGATCGAGGAGTACTACAAGAGGAAGTACGCGGAGACATCGTCACGGAGTCGCTATGCCGACGAAGATGAGCTGCCAGACCAGATCACGCAGCAGGGACTCTTGCCTGGCGTCAAGTGAGTTTATAGCACCTCCTCCTTGTACTTCGTTCCCGTGGCGATGTTTAAACTTGTAATTTATGTACAATGATGTCATGTCTTACGATGTCATGTTACGTACGTGTTTTGCATGGTTTTAAGAAAGTGGTCTGCTCTACCTGATATTCATGCTCTGTGTAGAACTGCTTCCTGAATGTCTGACCACTTCTTAAAATAAGTTGTACTTTGCCTTTCTTTGTATAACGCGCAGGAGAGATGACAGTTTTAAACAGGGATTTGTTGTTCAAAGTGAAATTAAAAACAGGTTGAATTGACATTTCGCACATTTTCAGAGTTCAAGTATGTCATTGTTTGCAACGCCAAATAACGCACACAATACTTTTGGTACAGAAAAACGTAAGGTATCCTTGACAGACTTGATACGCACGATGTCAACCAGGCAGAAGCTATCCGGAAGAAAGCAGGTGGATTTGTACGTAACATTTACCAAAGAACAGAAAGTGTGAGTGAGATGCTGGACAACCTGCAGTGGGCTTCACTCCAATTCGCGAGGGAAGCGGCCGTCAAAACCATGCTATACAAGATGTCTCATAGCTTCATTGCAATTAAGCAACATCAGTTCCTGACACCCATGACGACTACCAGACTCCGCAACTACCAACCGGCATGGTACCAGCCTCTCACAACTCACTCCTCCATAGACATCTATAAGTTCTCATTCATGCCAATAGCGGTTCGGCTCTGAAATGCCTTTCCTGCGGACGTCATAACAGCTCCATCGGTGGATGTCAGGGCACTCATTTCTGCCAATTACCCCCAAGATGGGAGCTCTTTCACCTACTTTGTTTCTTTCGCACAAAAATAACGTCCCCCTTGCTTTGCATGCACCTCGCTTCACCTCGGTGGTTATATCCAGAAGAGGACTTTGCTGAGTATAAGCATAGATGTAGATACGTCAGTTTGTGATGCACCGACTATCCGAGGTACCTCAGACTAAGGTGCAACTGACGATATGATGGTCAACCATTCAATTTGTTGGCAGGGAAAAGATGAGACGGAAGAATTCGCTGTTGTCTGGGAGTGAAATGAGAAACTTGTGAGAAGTTGGAATATTTGCTGGATAAAACCTTTATGGATCCGTAAATACTCCTAGTTATTTTGTATTTATCTAGGGATCCCAACCTGTGGATGGTCAGGTGTAAGATTGGTGAGGAGAAAGCCACAGCCATGCAGTTGATGAGAAAATTCATCGCTTACCAGTACCAGGACGAGGTAAGCAGTTTTTAGCAAAAGGCCCTGTGTAAAATGTAGCACCCAAGAGTGGTTCCCTGCTCGTTCTTCTGCTGAGCAGAATAATTTGCCAAGCAGTGTCTTTATGAAATTCAGTCTTTCGTCTAGGCAAACATGGGTTTGTGACATGTATGGTTTGCATTTTTAAAAAGAAAGCTATTAGTAAATGTATACCAATTTCACATTCCTCTGAGGGAGGAAGCATTGCTAAGCAAATTTTATGCGCTTGGTTGAAACCAGCTGGGGGAGCAGTTGCAGAAATCTTAAGCGTATGCCATTTTGGCTGTTAACCTGTGTTTTTCTAAGCAAATTTTTCTGTGCTTAGCATATTTCTGTCCTGAGAAGCTCTTTGAAATTGGACACCAATGATACCTGTATTTCTGCCGTCAATTCTGATCTTCCGTCCCACCTCCGCTCCCCCCCCCCCCGCAGCCCCTTCAGATCAAGTCAGTGGTGGCCGTGGAGGGCCTGAAGGGTTACATCTACGTGGAGTCCTTCAAGCAGACCCACGTCAAGCATGCCATCCAGGGGGTGGGCAACCTGCGGATGGGCCAGTGGAACCAGCTGATGGTGCCCATCAAGGAGATGACCGACGTGCTCAAGGTGGTCAAGGAGATCGTGGCCCTCAAACCCAAGTCCTGGGTCCGGCTCAAGTAAGTCCGGTCCACTCTCCTCTGGCATCACTGAATGCCAAACGTGAGCGTCACAGGTAGCTGCATTTGGTGTTTGATTTTTTAATTCTAACCCTTCCGAATACTTGGTTTGGAGGATTTTACCGAATTAAGAAAGTTGAACTCTTATTTTGGACTTATGCACGAGGTAGCCAGGTCGTTGGTGTGTAAAGAATTCGTCATCAGTTTCCCACATACTGTTTACTTTTTATGTGATCTGACTATAAGTAGCTAGAATTTGCATAATAAAGGGACTGGCTCTCAATTGTATGATACTCTGCAGAGGAGTATAAGGGACAATGACCTGGCATTAACCTCTGACCTTGGACCTCTCACCAGGCGAGGTGTCTTCAAGGATGACCTGGCGCAGGTCGACTACGTGGAGCCGTCCCAGAACCAGGTCACCCTCAAGCTGCTGCCCCGCATCGACTACACTCGCATGCGGGGCGTGATGCGCACCGCCAACCCCGACAAGAGGAAGAAGAAGCGAAGGCCCATGCAGAAGCTGTTTGACGAGGAGGCCATCAGGTGAGGGCGCTCTTTACATCCTCAGGCAAGGTTTTGCACTCAGGGCAAAGAGAAGTCAGGTTGGCATAAAGTTCCTTTCCACTTCTTGGGACCTGGGTTCGAATCCGGCCGGGGTCCACATGCGGATTGGGTTTTCAGTCCCTACCAGAGTCCTTGAGTTTTCCCCGAAACATTTATCCGGGGTTTTCCTCCCTCCCCTAAAGAAACTGAAGTTCTTCATTGTCTTCTTCACTCATTATCTTCCTGTAATTTTCACTAAATTCGCTGTCGGATGAACAGATATAAATAAAAGCAAATGCATATTGCATACCTGTGACCTTGGGGTCAAAAGTTTGTGCCGGGAATTTGCAGAGTTGAGTACGTTTCCACGTATTTCTTGCAACTGTTTCGCAAAGTCAAGTTCACTTTACTTTTTGCCCTGACCTGAAACCTGAACCAGCCTTTGAGATTAGGGTTAATCATTTAAGGTACATTCATTTTGTTTTACCAGAGAAGTTGGGAGAAGTATTCAACTTGCTGGATGTCCAGCAATCTGGACGTCCTTTTGTTCAAGAATTGTGTAGTCAAAGATTTCAAATCCTGACTGAAGGATTGGAAAGTGTTCAAATATTAGCCAGTTGGCGGTATATCTACGAAGTCACTGGCAAAATAGGATGTCTTTACCGATACCTTTTTTCCAGCGCAATGAATTATTTCATTGAGTCGGTTTGGTGATTCAAAAAGGCATGGTCATTCAAGAACAAAGCATGCTTGCTAGACGGTGTGTGGCCGCGCAGATAGCGCTGACCTCACACGGGCATATTGCTGTTCCCCAGTGACCTTGGACGCGCTTCATTTGGGCATGCCCTGTTGGAATCCCGAACTGGCTCATCAGTCTGTTTCCGTTATTTTCCCTGGACTTTGAAATGGTTGTCATGTTCCTGTGAGCTGTTGAATCAGTTGATGACTGAAGTTGGCCAAATAACCAGTTTGCCAGTGAATTAATCGTTGGTCTGTTGTTTGCTTTCCGTCAGAGCAATCAGTGGTGAGGTTTCCAAGGATGGTGACTTCTTGATCTTTGAGGGCAACCGTTACAGCCGCAAGGGATTCCTCTACAAGACCTTTGCCATGAGCGCTATCGTGAGTTTCTTTTGTTGAGTAATATTCCTGGCTTAATTAGATTTTAGCTGAAGAGCATCTTTGAAAGATGACCGAGCAACTGTTGCTAGGATTTCAAACAAGCTGGTTGGGATTTATGATTAGTGAAAAAGAGATTCAGGAGAG